AGTTAAGATTTTTAATACAATTTAATGATAACAAAAAATCATATATATATATATATATATATATAATAATACAGGAAATATAAATTAACTCCAGTAAAGGTGGCAGTGCCTCCTGGTTAGGAATTAATTTATATTTTCCAAATCATGTAATAAAAATATAACAAAGATATTCATTCTGGTCTTTTATCAAGAACGTTCAAATTACAATTCTTAACATACATTTTCCTTGAATTATAAACTTTATCTACGTTATCTCTTCGTTAGAAATTACAAAAGAAGAGAAACTAAAGTTATTAAAATAATAACATATTAAACTAAGCTAACTATGCCCCGATGTCACATCCTATCAGAGCATGCCCAACTGAAGCCTTAAGCCTCATCACCAACATCCTCATGATGCTGATCACCTGCAACATAATTTAAACATATACAAGAACAACAAGGGAGTGAGAAACATCTCACTCAGTTTCAGGTGCAGAAATAAAGGTTAGATAGCACCCACACACACTAAACAAATATAAGTCACATGTAAACAATACACATACCTCAATATCACATATACATTCATTTATCATGAAATAATGTCATGAACTCGACTCATAAATGCATGCATGTGGCGCCATAAGGAAGTTTCACATATCATCACTGGTGACCCTAAGGCACACCTGGTTACATCACTGGTGACCCTAAGGTACACCTAGTTACATCACTGGTGACCCTAAGGTACACCTCGTTAGCAAGTTACATCACTGGTATGCGGCCTCAGCGGCACACCTGGAATAAGATATGCATATGATGCATGTCATACATTCATTATTTCATGAACTCAACATTTAACTTATTACAGAATTTCATTTAGTACATCATGTCCTCATTTGTCATAGTCTCATAATCATAGTTTGTCTCAATAGTCAATTCTTAGGTCTCATGTCATTTGTCCATATTTCACATGGTCATGTCATCAATACTCCTCATAAGGTCCGCATAGGTATTCACAGAGATTCAGAGAGCATTCTTATTCATATTAAAACTCATGTATTATTAACATTAATTTCATATTCATTTATTACTTCAACAAAGAAAAAGGTAGAGTAAATAGAAAATCAGACAGAACAACGGCACTTTCAACAAAAACAAAGTAGAATAAATAGAAAATCGGACAGAACAACGGCACCTTCAAAAAAAAGCAAAGTAGAGTAAATAGAAATTAAACAGAACAACGACAAAGGATTGGGGGCCAATCCGACAAACAACTATCCAACAATTATCCCCACACCCCTGAGCGAGGTTCTCACTCCCCCCCTTACCTGGATAAGCGGAGCTGAACTTAGGCAGAGCCTCCTCCTCTGGATTCCCTCTTCCTTTCTCTCTCTCTTTCTTTCTCTTTCTCTCTCTCTCTCTCTCTCTCTCTTCTCTTTCTCTCTCTAAAATTTCACTTTCTTCCTCTGTATAAAAAATTTCACCCCCCTGCCCCTATTTATAGGCAATCTGACGCACCCGGAACGGCCCGTACTGATTTCGGAACGGCCCGTTCCGGATCCTTCAAATCTGGGCAAAATTTGTAACTGGAACGGCCCGTTCCAAAATCGAAACGGCCCGTTCCCAAAAAACCAGAACGGCCCGTTCTGAAATCAGAACGGCCCGTTCTCAATCTCAGAAGAACGGCCCGTTCTCCTTCCGGAACGGCCCGTTCTCCATACCAGAACGGCCCGTTCCAGGGCCGTTCTGGGACTACAAAAACCTCACATTTTCAACATTTGGAACGGCCCGTTTCACTTTTGGAACGGCCCGTTCCGGAACCCAAAATACCCCTATAACTTTATTAAAATTACGAAAATGCCACAAAAATAATAATAATAAAAATTTGGGTGTTACAATTCTCCCCTCCTTTTAGAAATTTCGTCCCCGAAATTTACCTGAAAACAGAAATGGATGAGCTTCTCGCATCTTGCTTTCTAATTCCCATGTAGCACTTTCTTCAATATTTCCTCCCCAAACGACCTTAACCAAAGGGATTTCCTTTCCTCTTAGTTGTTTCACTCTCGTGTCATCAATCCTTAGAGGAACCGTTTCATAAGTAAGATTATCCTTCAACTGAATGTTGTCAGACTCAATGATATGGGAAGGATCATGGACATACTTTCTGAGTTGGGAAACATGAAAGACACTATGGAGATTTGAAAGAGATGGAGGCAAAGCAATTTGATAGGCCACTTCACCGATTCTTTTAAGAATTTGATAAGGACCAATGAAACGTGGAGTAAGCTTACGGGATTTCAGTGCTCTGCCTACTCCTGTCCAAGGAGTGACTTTAAGGAATACATGATCACCTTCTTTAAACTTAAGGTCTTTTCTCCTCTTGTCATTATAACTCTTTTGCCTACTCTGAGTTGCTCTCATCTTCTCTTGGATCATCTTAACCTGTTCAGTAGTTTGTTGAACTATCTCAGGTCCTAACATGACATTCTCTCCAGGTTCTACCCAACATAAAGGTGTTCTACATCTCCTACCATACAGAGCCTCATATGGTGCCATCCCAATACTAGAATGGTAGCTATTATTGTAGGTAAATTCTATCAAAGGTAGGAAACTATCCCAACTACCCCCATGTTCTAAGATGCAAGCCCTCAACAAGTCTTCCAAAGATTGTATGGTTCTCTCAGTTTGGCCATCTGTTTGGGGATGGTAAGCTGAACTCAATTTAAGCTTAGTGCCTAAAGCCTTATGCAAACTCTCCCAAAATCTAGAGGTGAACCTAGGATCTCTATCAGACACAATACTAGTAGGAACTCCATGCAACCTCACGATCTCACTGATGTACAACTTGGTTAACCTCTCCAAAGAGTACCTAATATTAATGGGAATAAAATGGGCAGACTTAGTCAATCTATCCACAATGACCCATATAGCATCCAAGTTCTTCACAGTCTTAGGTAACCCAACTACAAAATCCATAGAGATGCTATCCCACTTCCACACAGGCACATCTAAAGGTTGCATCAAACCTGAAGGTTTTTGGTGTTCTACCTTAGCTTTCTGACATACTAAGCAAGCATACACAAATTCCTCCACTTCCCTCTTCATCTTAGGCCACCAAAACATCTTCTTAAGGTCTTGGTACATCTTAGTGGCTCCTGGATGGATACTAAGGATACTCTTATGACCTTCTTCCAGGATTGCTCTCTTAAGTTCTGGCACACTAGGAATGCACAACCTATCCTTAAATCTTAAAACTCCATCCACTCCAATTCTAAACTCACTTTTCACAGCTTGATTCAACTTCTCTACCCGACTCAATAAGAAAGGATCCATCTTCTGACCTTCTCTAATCTCATCTATCAAGCTATTAGTCACTCTCAAAGCTCCCAACTTAATACTCTTAGAGGTCAACTCACACCCTAAGCTCATATCCCTAAACTCCTCAATCATTTGCATTTCCCTAATCATCAAGGAAGACATTCTCAAAGATTTTCTACTCAAAGCATCAGCTACAACATTAGCCTTGCCAGGGTGATAATTTAATTGAAAGTCATAATCCTTAAGAAACTCTAACCATCTCCTCTGCCTCATATTCAATTCCTTTTGGTCAAACAAGTACTTAAGGCTTTTATGGTCACTAAAAACCTCAAATCTAGACCCAAACAAGTAATGTCTCCACAACTTGAGCACAAAAACTATTGCAGCTAACTCAAGGTCATGGGTAGGATAGTTTTGCTCATGAATTTTAAGTTGTCTTGAAGCATAGGCTACTACCTTACCCTCCTGCATAAGCACTCCTCCTAAACCCAATTTAGAAGCATCACAAAATACCTCAAAAGTCTTACTAGGATCAGGTAATACTAACACAGGAGCACTAGTTAATCTCCTCTTAAGCTCTTGAAAACTCTCCTGACACCTAGAATCCCACACAAAAGGTTGGTCTTTCTTCGTCAGCTTAGTCAAAGGAAGAGCTAGCCTAGAGAAATTCTCTATGAACCTTCTGTAATAACCAGCTAGTCCTAGGAAACTCCTAATCTCAAATACTGATTTAGGTGTTCTCCACTCTAACACAGCTTCTACCTTAGCAGGATCTACAGCTATTCCACCCTTGGATATCACATGTCCTAGAAAGTTCACACTATCCAACCAAAATTCACATTTTGACAATTTAGCATACAACTGTTTCTCCTTAAGGGTTTGAAGAACGATCCTAAGGTGCTCAACATGCTCTTCCCTAGTCTTGGAATACACTAGGATATCATCTATGAAGACCACTACAAATCTATCCAAGTAAGGGTGAAAGATCCTATTCATGTAGTCCATAAAAACACCAGGTGCATTAGTCACACCAAAAGGCATAACTAAATACTCATAGTGCCCATAGCGGGTTCTAAAGGCAGTCTTAGGAACATCCTCAGCTCTCACTCTAATCTGATGGTATCCTGACCTTAAATCTATCTTACTGAACACACAAGCTCCAACTAGTTGATCCATAAGGTCATCTATCCTAGGCAAAGGATACTTATTCTTAATGGTCACTTTATTCAGTTGCCTATAGTCTACGCACAACCTCATGCTCCCATCTTTCTTCTTAACCAACAAAACAGGCGCTCCCCAAGGCGAGACACTAGGCCTAATGAATTGTTTTCCTTGTAATTCCTCTATTTGTTTCTTAAGCTCAACTAACTCTGTAGGGGACATCCTATAGGGTGCTATAGATATAGGTGGGGTACCTGGTACTAAGTCTATGCTAAACTCAATCTCTCTCTCAGGTGGTAAACTAGACACATCCTTAGGAAATACTTCTGGAAATTCTCTCACTAAGGGAATCTCATCTAGCTTACTATCAGTCTCAAGTGTTAAAGAAGCTAAGATCATGTACACTTTTTCATTGTCTTTTAAACAAGTTTTAATGTCAGCAGCACTAAGAAATTCCGTACTCTTACATTCACCAAAGGAAATAGATTTCTCAAAGCAGTTTAAAAGGACATGGTGAGAAGATAACCAATCCATACCAAGAATTACATCTAATTGACTAAGAGGCAAACAAATTAAGTCAACTAGAAACTGCTTATCAGAAACTGTCAAAGGACATTTCAAACACACTAGGGATGTAGTCACAGGACCATTAGTAGGGGTTTCAACAACTAGATCAAAATCTAACAAAGACACAGGCAAATTCAATTTTTGGACACAAGAGACAGAAATAAAGGAATGAGTTGCACCAGAATCAAATAGTACAACAAAAGGAGTCTCAGCTATGAAACAAGTACCTTGTATCAAATTTTCTGACCGAGAAGCTTCAGCACCACTAAGAGCAAATACTCTCCCTACAGTCTTTGGACGCTCAATTTGCGAACCCGATCCAATAACACGTGTTCTTCGTGGTTCAGGACATTGGGTGCTGATGTGACCCTTGCCACTGCAATTGAAGCAGGTAATCTCCTTGTCAAGACACTCAGACTGATTATGACCAACACGTCCACACTTCCCACATCTTCCTGAAGGAGTGGACACAGACCCTCCAACACTTCCAGTAGCACTAACAGTGGATCCTCTAGTAAACAACTTACTTTTATTAGCAGCAGCTTTACTCCCTTGAAATCTATTAGAAGCGAAGTAAGGCTTACTCCTTCCCGAAGTACTAGAACTCACAGCACGGATAGGACCTCCAACTCCTTTATAAAAAGCAGCACGAGCACGGTTGTCATGATCATAAATGCTGCACTTATTGACCAGAGTGGGAAAGTGATATATCTCCTGATAGTTAATTGCAGTTTTCACTTCAGGACGCAGACCATTTACAAATTTTATGCATTTAGCTCTTTCACCACCCTCACCATGGTAGTGTGTGCAATAACGAACCAAAGCATCAAATTTGGCAGCATACACAGCCACTGTGTCGTTCCCTTGATTCAGCTCAAGGAATTCCATTTCTTTCCGACTTCTCACATCATCCGGGAAATACTTCTCAAGAAAGACCTTCTTGAAGTTGTCCCAATTCAAGTGCACCCCTCCATCAATCATCCTCCGAAGTGCTCCTTCCCACCAAAAGTGAGCATCAGCAGTCAACATGAATGTGGCCAACTTCACCTTCTGAGCGATGGGACAATCCATAACATTGAAAATTTTCTCTATTTCTGTTAGCCAATTCATAGCAGCATCTGGGTCATATCCTCCTTTAAAGGTAGGTGGGTGATTTCGTTGAAATTGCTCCAACCAGTTAGGAGTAACTTCAGTCCTATTGTTATTATTCATAGCTTGTGCTAATGCTTGAAGAGCATCGGCAATCGCACGATCATTTCTACCAGCCATAGTCTAAGAAAATAATACAATCAATAAACATAATCAATCATCATACTAGCATACCAACAAGTTTTACAATCAGTTCAGTCCATCATTCATGTACCAAATAAACATAGTAAATCAAATAAGCATAGTAAACTCATAACTCACGGTCGATTAGATCGACCTGCTCTGATACCACTATATGTGACACCCTCTACCCCATTATTAATATACAACAAATGTAACAATAAAATATTTCTTTTCTTCTTTTTGGGTAAATAAAATCTTTCATAGTTGACAAATATTTCAAATATCACAAGGTAGAAGATTCACATTCGTAACTCATAAATCATAACTCCAGTGTAAAAATTATAAAAGAAAAGAAGTTAAGATTTTCAATACAATTTAGTGAAAAACAAGAAATCATATATATACAAATAATAATAAAGGAAATATAAATTAACTCCAGTAAAGGTGGCAGTGCCTCCTGGTTAGGAATTAATTTATATTTTCCAAATCATGTAATAAAAATATAACAAAGATATTCATTCTGGTCTTTTATCAAGAACGTTCAAATTACAATTCTTAACATACATTTTCCTTGAATTATAAACTTTATCTACGTTATCTCTTCGTTAGAAATTACAAAAGAAGAGAAACTAAAGTTATTAAAACAATAACATATTAAACTAAAATAACTATGCCCCGATGTCACATCCTATCAGAGCATGCCCAACTGAAGCCTTAAGCCTCATCACCAACATCCTCATGATGCTGATCACCTGCAACATAATTTAAACATATACAAAAACAACAAGGGAGTGAGAAACATCTCACTCAGGTTCAGGTGCAGAAATAAAGGTTAGATAACACACACACACACACAACAAATATAAGTCACATGTAAACAATACACATAATTCATCAATATCACATATACATTCATTTATCATGCAATAATGTCATGAACTCGACTCATAAATGCATGCATGTGGCGCCATAAGGAAGTTTCACATATCATCACTGGTGACCCAAAGGTACACCTGGTTACATCACTGGTGACCCTAAGGTACACCTGGTTACATCACTGGTGACCCTAAGGTACACCTCGTTAGCAAGTTATATCACTGGTATGCGGCCTCAGCGGCACACCTGGAGTAATATATGCATATGATGCATGTCACACATTCATTATTTCATTAACTCAACATTTAACTTATTACAGAATTTCATTTAGTACATCATGTCCTCATTTGTCATAGTCTCATAATCATAGTATGTCTCAATAGTCTCTTAGGTCTCATAGTCCATTCTTAGGTCTCATGTCATTTGTCCATATTTCCATGGTCATGTCAGAAATACTCCTCATAAGGTCCGCATAGGTATTCACAGAGATTCAGAGGACAATCTTATTCATATTAAAACTTATTTATTATTAACATTAATTTCATATTCATTTATTACTTTCAACAAAGAACAAAGTAGAGTAAATAGAAAATCAAACAGAACAACGACACCTTCAACAAAGAGCAAAGTAGAGTAAATAGAAAATCAGACAGAACAACGGCACCTTCAACAAAGAGCAAAGTAGAGTAAATAGAAAATCAGACAGAACAACGGCAAGGGATTGGGTGCCAATCCGACAAACAAACTATCCAACAATTATCCCCACACCCCTGAGCGAGGTTTCTTACTCCCCCCCTTACCTGGATAAGCGGAGTTGAAACTTGGGCAGTGTCTCCTCTTCTGGATTCCCTCTTTCTTTCCCTCTCTTTCTTTCTTTCTCTCTCTCTCTCTCTCCTCTTTATCTCTCTAAAATTTTCACTTCTTACTCAGTATAAAATTTTCACCCCCCTTGGCCCTATTTATAGGCAATCTGACGCACCCGGAACGGCCCGTACTGATTTCGGAACGGCCCGTACTGATTTTGGAACGGCCCGTTCCGGATCCTTCAAACATGGGCAAATTTTTCAACTGGAACGGCCCGTTCCAAAATCGGAACGGCCCGTTCCCAAAAAGCAGAACGGCCCGTTCTGAAACCAGAACGACCCGTTCTCAATCTTAGCAGAACGGCCCGTACTGATTCCATAACGGCCCGTTCTCCATACTAGAATGGCCCGTACTGCTTCCAGAACGGCCTGTTCTCCATACCAGAACGGCCCGTTGCAAGCCCGTTCTGGGTCTTTAAAAACAAGCATATTCCTTCTTTTGGAACGGCCCGTTCTGCATTTGGAACGGCCCGTTCCGACACCCAGAAATACCCTTATTCCTTTATTAAAATTACGAAAATGCCATCAATAATTATGAAATGCCATCTTTTAAAAAAATTGGGTGTTACAATAGCCACTTGAGTGGTGCTGAAATTGCTGCTATGCAGTGCTGAAATTGCCGCCTTGCGGTGCTGATAATGTTGAATGTTGTGGTGTAGTATAAGCTGAGTGATGTGCTGATAGCTGTAGTTGTTTTCCATTCATATTGCTATATATGTATGATGATTTGTTTTCACTAGCTTACCCTTTGCCGTTTCCATGGTGTTTGGACTGCAATGATCATACTATGTATGGGAGTAGAGCAAGGATAGGTGGGTGGCTAGTGGCAGGACTGCGGATGGCTGATAGGGCTGATTTCTTTTGATCTTTTGTTGTTTTAGCTATCTTGTATAGCGATGCTGGATGTACTTTTTACACTTTAACTCTATCCAGATTTGGATCATTTATATGTATATATTCTAGACCCTATATGTATACACTTGTTCCTGGTCTGTGTGGTGTTTCTAGTGTGTTGTGCAGTGTGTAGTGACCAGCTGGGTCGTTACAAATTCTAATCTAAAAATATTTTATGCCACATTCTATCAGAGTTCGACTCATAGTATATTAAAAGACTCATGACTTGACACCAATATTATCATGATATCTTTATCTACAAATTTAAGTACACATAGGAACACAATGACAATAATAAAAGGGAGTAAGAAATGTTTCACTCTAGCTACTAGTATGAGATATAATTGGGTAGCCACCACATCAATCTTTAACATAAACATATGTATATGTGACATGAGTATTAAAATATAAATAGAACAATATGGTTTCAATTAATAGCAATTCAATTTAATTTATTAACACAAGCACACACATTCACAACTCATACACTTAATGTAGTGGACATGGACTAATCCATATCTACATGCATTGGTGCCAAAGATCTCATAACTTGTTGATCAAAGGCTGCTCATGGCTCGGAGGTAAATACTCATGGTTTCAAGGCAATTACTTATGGCTTGAAGGCGATTAATTATGACCTAAAGGCGAATATTCATGATCCGAGAGTGAATGCTCTTGTTCATGATGCATGTTTCACATACAACACTCTATGTCCACATCGTCTTCATGTCAATGTCTTGCATACACATCATCGTCTCATCAATCTATATATACACATTATCATCATTTTATTCTCATATCACACATTACAATCTCCCATCACATATAAAGATCTCATACTACACATAACATTTCATATCATGTACGTCACATAAAAACATCGATCTCATATCTCATACAAACACAATGTCTTATAAACATAATTTTATATTTTTATCAGAACCCATTCATAACTCTTTCACAAATTAATACCTCCTCTTAAAGTTTCTTTTTCTTAATTATTGATATACTTTTTCAAATTATTTTAAAGATTAAGCATTTAAACGATAAAACAACTCACAGTCTCCTCTAATCTTAAGCTTCTACCACATTGTGAGGTTTCAACGTAATATTCAGAATTATATTTATAATATTAAATTGATATCAATTTTGTTCGAAAAATAAAACATTTATTAATAACTTCTATGTTAAGTGCAAGAATTAATTTTACAACCTACTATTTTAAAAAAGTGCAAAATCACGTTTCAATGAAAAACTGATAGTTTCATCTTTCCTTACTAATTTAATTATAATTTAAGTTTTAAATCTCCTTTTTAGATAATTCAACACCATTAAAAAAGCCAACATCAAATGCTATAATTTTTATGTAGTCATAAAATGTTAATTTCATCATTTCATACATTTGCACGGGGCATGAAAGTAAGTGTCCGTCTGTGCCATTTACTGTTCTGTATAAAACCTTTTTTTAGCTTTGATTGCACGAGCGTGTAACATGGTGCAATGACAGTTGCATTTAGGTAATTTAGATCAAAATCCATTTTAGTCAATTAAGGTTGTACTTTGAAGTAATAATGCTAATTATTATCCTTAAATAGATCATCCATTACTACAAAGAGAAGCAAAAGTCAAGTGATGACGATAAGAGTGAAGAGTTTTCTATTAAGATGAGTGTGTGATGTAATTATAATTTTAATTATAAATCTCAATATGTGTGATATAATTATAATTATATATGGTTTTTTATTACATGTGATGCGATATAGATGAAAAGTTTATAAAAAGGCATTTATTAAGTTATCCAGATGGAGACAATTTTTTTTTTTTATATATATACAAATGGAAATTATTTAATCAATTTTTATATATTAAATACAAACTCATATTTTCAATAAGTGTTTTTAGGTAAATTTTTTTTCAACAAGATAATTTGTAAGTATTATACTTTTATCTAATTCAATTTTTATTTATCACAATTATTTATAAATTAAATATTAATATTTTAAAATAAATTATCAATCAACAAAAATAATTGTGTTACAATATTAATTATTTATCATAATTCTAAAATATAATTTGTGTTTAAATTTATCTATTTTTTATAAATTTTAAATATAATTTATATATTAAAATATAATACTTATTTATATAACTTATTTTAAATTCTAATTATATATAATAAGCATTACACAAGTTAAAAAACTAATATTCTAATGATGTGTTTACTTTTATCACCCTAGTATCAGTTTTAACTTTTAAAGAAACTGATGTTAATAAAATTGAATTATAAATATGGGTAGGTAAATTAACCAGCAGTATTTATTTTCCTTCAAAAACGAGATGAAAATATCATCAAATTAATTTCTCAAGATCTTGAAATAATATTCTTGTTCAATAAAAAATGAAAAAATACTGTATATTTGGTGTAAAAAATACAATATTGTACATTTTATATACAAATTATGAAGAGTGCGCAAGACCCGATTCATTTACTTACCTAATCGATATATTGTTGATTTGGACGGTTAAAATTTTAATATTAAATTTAATGTAATTTGTAGGACAGATTTAATTTATGTTTTGAATTATTTTAATTTGTTCTATATGTTTTCAGAATAATTATTAATTAGTGTATAAAATATATTTTGTATTTATGTGAATTGTGTGACATTCTCTATTACACATAGCATAATATATCATTAAATAAAATTGAATAAAAAACTTTATCATAAATAAATATATAATGTTCAACATAAAAGGTATCAAATTTTAACTTAAAGAAAAGTCAATTGAAATCCTAATGAAATCTATTACATGAAAATTAATAATTATCTCAAAACATATGACAAAAAAAATTGTTACCAAGTCCTGATGTCACATTTTATCAAAGCATAACCCTTTTATGAGGACTAAGTCTCGCCACCAACATCTTCAACATCATGTTGAAGATCACCTACAATAACATGAAAGAAGGGCAACCATAAATAAGGGAAGTGAGAAGTGTCGCATTCTGCCTCACGGCATGAGATGTAATTGGACATCTAAATACAAATAAGACTTATATCAACATAACATAAGCATATTGATCATATAACATATTTCATTCATTCATAATGCAACGACTAAATGACACAATATTAAGATGCATTATGTAATGGACACGCACAGATTACATGTTAGGATGCATGTGACATTAATAAAAATATCATATATCACACTTGTGTATTGCCGCTAACAATACACATAAAGTAGCCTAGGAGTACATGTTAGGTCACACCCTCAATGCACTCTCACTAGGAAGATATACTAGTAGGGTTTGGTTAGAATAGCTAAGCCGCACATGATATATCCCATGCGCATAAGGAAATGAGGTGAGACTTCCAAATTGAGTTATTCCTAAGGTTGGTTCCCAAGTTTTCACACAAGGGACCTTCCTTGGCGGTGTATTCCATATATATCATACCCTTAAAAACACTTTTATACATATGATGCATGTTAAACAAACTCTATATATAGCAACTCATATGATCTCACTAATTCACATATCACATGTCTTATCATATCACATTATCACATCATTTCACTTTAAACTGATCTCAATATAATTAACAATTCAACTATATCAATTAAATATTAACAATCAATGGCATAAGGGATCATGCCACTACAACTCATACATAGCTCGTAATCATATATAGCACTAGTATACTCACATATCACAACTAGTTATTAATATTAATTAGTACCATGATTACACATGTTTGCAGTTTAAACATGACAATTTCACAACATCATCCAACACACCTCAAGACAAAATCATAATGGGATTGTCTAATTATATGTTAACACCTTGATCTACTTTTTAAGTCTACTCGAAAGGCTTACAACGTACACATGTTACATTTCACACATAGAATATGAGGTTTATCTTTTAGCTCACATAACTCAATCATTCCTTAAAATTTTATGTGATTCTTAATTCTAAATTATAGTTCTAAATGTTTATTATTTAACCCAACAATTGGAATTCAATTTCATTTATCACACGCATATAAATCATATAAATACC